CAATTATATCACACAAATAATACATATCAAACAAAAAACTATCTGGTTATGTTCAGTGAAACTCCCAGCAAATGTATCATTTTATACAGGTGCTTTTCTGCTGTTTTTCGAAAATTTGTCACCTGCTTCTTTTTACCCCATAGGTGTGGTAAAATGAGACAGCCAGGGGAAAACAGATCCAATGTCTTATTAACTTCCCGTAGGGTAAGTTATAGTAATCGCAAAAAAATCGAAATGAAATTTTTTTTATATCTCTACGTTTCAAAGGTTTCTGAATATTTTGGCATACCTTAGAAAAAATGGATGTATGTGTGTGTATATGTGTGCGGATACAAATTTACGTTGACGATGTGGGAAACACCGATCAACCGTTTTGAATAGCTAAAAAAATATTCGATTCCTATTGATAAAGTTACGTGCTGATTGGTTTTTGGACAAGATCTAGCCGTTTCGAAAATATGGGGCAAAAAGTGCCAAAACGATAACTCAGTTTTTAAGAGAACGGAGAGTCCGATTTTAATAATTCAAAAAACATTTTACTTGTATTAACGACTGATCAAATTTTCATGAAGGCAGGTCTAGCGGTTTCGGAGATCTAATAGAAAAAGTAAAAAAAATGCCATCTGGCAGTCAAAAATGATCATTAGACATATGCACAATGATTATCAGATATTTTATAGCGATTTTATTAATAAGTACAAATTTTGTTTACATTTCTATGGGTTCCGTAACATTGTTTGGCCGTTAGGCTGCGACGAGGCGCTTACGCGCTTTGATGTTTTGTGTCTATACAGCTAAAGCTTCAAGCGATTGCTTTGAAAATAAGTTCAAAATTTCTAGACTATTTCATAATATAAAAAAATTGGGAAAAGTCCATTTTTTCAAAAAAATTAAAATTCTCAAAAATCTATTTTTTTCAGTTAAAAAAAAACAATCTTTTCTTAACTTTTCTTATGGAAAGTTCCAGCAATTTGCTGGAACGATGCTATATACCACAAGTTAGTGTTTTTGGTTATGAGCACTATTGTTTAGTTAACGAAGACCTCAATATAGTTCTTAATTATACGTTATACGTTATAAGATTTATTGTTAATTTCAAATTAGATTCAATAGTTTTATTTATATAACCTCTTTAAAAGCTTACATCTAGGTCGGCTAAAAAAGGTGTTAAAAATAAAAAAAGCTATTTTACAAGAGATAATTTAAATAACAGTTATTCCAACTCTGCTGATAAATATTTCCGACGAGATACCAGATCAAGGTTATTTATAGTGTTATCTCTGCAATGCACTCATGAAATTTATATTTTGCATTAGTTGATAAATCTAGCTATTAATTTGTAAAATCCTTTTCAAATTAGAATAAGACATTGAGCCTGTTTGCCCCCTGGCCATTTCAATTCACCCCCTTATGGTAAAAAAGACCAGGTCACAAATTTTTGAAAAAAAAAAAAAAAAACGTCAAAATGAAACACATTTCTACAATGAAGATTTAGCTGAAAGTTTTACTGAACATAGTGAGATAACATAGTTTGTTTGATATGTGTTACTTGTTGTGATATAATTAGTTGGTTTCTCACAATATAAATGTTTAAAGTCAAATTGAACTTTTTGTGTCCCGCCTTACCCTATCTCAGATACTCGTCAATCTCAGAAAATTATTTTTTAAGTCCCTTATGTATTTTTCTAGCTAATAGCATTTACTATAAGTTCTTCAGATAGATTTAAATTTTCTGCTAAAGGGCTTCAAATTCTGCGTCCTTCGAAACATATCTAGCCATCTACAAAAACGACTTGTATATCTGATAAAAAGAAAAATTCAGATAAGGTATGATAAAAAAAAATAACTAGATCCTAAATAGAACTTTTGCTGAATCCCACTTCCAATGATGTTTGTAGAGATACACACAATTCACACGAAATTTGTCATATTATGGATAATATCCATAAAATTTGTTTATATAGCTATCAAAATTGCTACTGTGCATACCTTGTAAAATGAAGGGATTTACTCATCAAAGTAGATTTCAACTTATGTAGTAGATTTGTGCCCATACTTGTAGATTATCGTGACCTGTTTTTGCAGGACCAGGATAAAAATTAGCTTGGGCTATTTTGAGTTTTCTCATATAAAATTAAAAAATTATATATATATCATAATTTTCTACCTGACGCATTTCCAAAATTTTTACAAGAGCGAAGCACTAGCTTTGTATATACTTTTGAAGCATTTTTTTGTGTAATTTATTGACATCTTTACGTCTCATATTTTTCCAATGTATCTTTATTTGAATACATAATTTAATTTATTTGCCCTGTAAAAGCTATTACAACAACAATATGACACCACTGTTAGTATATGTGCTTATACATTTTATAATTTGTATATATGAATGGGCGTTAGTAGAAATTGCCTACAACAGTTCAACAGTTCCCACCAAACTAGAAATGTAACATTCTATATTTGATGTGATAAAATGCAAATTCACATGGAAGTGCATTGCGTGTTTGTTATATGAATTAATATAAATAATGCTAAAACAGTCTTATGTAAAACAAGTACATCGTTATAACCACGGTTTTTGTTACTTCTTTAAAAGAAGACTTATAAATGGAAAGTTTAGTGCAGTTGTTCACACTGCAATTTAAAATTAACTATTGATTAATTCATTTTATACAGGATTTCAAAAATCGTTTATTTATTTTTAGTAGAGAATATTGGTTTTCATCACTCAATGTATGAATATCACTTAAACCAACAAATTTGAAAATGACAAATATAATCAAATTTACCCAATTGATAAAAACAATGTTGCAAATAAATAAATAGACGCGTGCTTTGTTTTCTCAAATTGTATTTCATTAACTAATAAATAAATAAAATATTTAACTAAATTGCCAGGAATAGGAAGCAAAGGACATACTCGGTCCTTTGCTTAATTGCCTTTAAAACTAAAATTGATTTCAATAAGTATGTTTGCATGAACTTTACATTTATACAAATATTGACAAAGCCACCTGGTTGCTATGCAGTCAGGCGCTTTTCTCAGGTTGTCAGGTAGAAAACATAACCAAGAAACCGCACATTGTCAAAAAAACTATCTTACACAGACGTACTGTTTGCAACTGAACAGCTGTACCTGTGGCGTGTTTTGCAACTTGACAGACTTGCAAAGTAAAGCATCAATTTTAATGCAACCATTCAATCGGCAAGTTCAGTTGGCCGTGCAGCACAGAGTAGAATTCATAATACAGTTTATGAATTATCGCAATTAAAAGTTAGAAATTACTGAACATGAATGATGCTGTAATACATAAATATAAAAAAGATTTTTAGGTTACATTTATATGAAGATATGCTTCGCACTTACTTGAACATAAACTTGAATCTGTTGAAATACTGCGCATCACAGTTGCGCAAGTACAGTTATCTGTCTTTAGTAACATCTTTCTGACTGAGGTACGCCCAGCGGTTTTAGAGGTTCAATAAAAAAGTAAAAATTAATGTCTTGGCGATCAAGAATTATCATTAGATATATTCGCATCAAATTATGAAAGATTTTAATAATAAGATTTTACATTTCTATGGGTTTCGTACCAAGATTTATAATACTCAACCCTGATATTTCATTTCTAAAATGCCCATGCAGCGCAATTGCTTTGAAATATTTTTTTTTTCAAAAATTTCCAAATTCTCCAATATCTAATAGTTTCTTATCTAATCTATCTAATTTTAATTTGCGGTACGGGAAGTTCAAGCAACTTGCCTTAAGGCACGTTGCCACGCACCACTAGTTAAATCTTTACACCGCAAAACACGTAAAAGTATTTTTCTTAATCAAAAGCAAAAAAAATCCGTCTGATTATTGATTTTATTAATGATATAACATTTATTTAAAAAAAACCTTCATTGTCAAAATAAATACAAAATTGATTTACAATTCTTTTGAATAACAATGTAAGCGCGCGCAATACACAAAAACTGAATTTTCAGATAAAATTTTGTATGATCCTGGCTTTTTTCCATAGAGACCGACATTCTATTCCATTTTTTAGCTCCGCGTATTGTAAACTACACCATCGTGTTGCCTTGTTTTGTGCCCGAAAAAATATAAAACTGGGATTGGTAGTGATCTTGCTCCCCGTGCACACTATTCGGATTTTTAGAACAAGATCGTTTTTTCCGTTTCACTTAGCAAAGGACTACTATTTGGCATTTACAAAGGCGTCTCCTGCGCTTGAAGATGGCAGCGACGACCACGTTGGCTGGGCGCTGAGTCATCCTGGTACTTTTCTTTTGGTCAATGTCCAGGGCGTCAACTTTCTTCTCTGATAATATGTGATCCTCTGATGATTTCCCGTACATTTTTCTTTCTAATTTAGATTCAGATATTAGAGAAATTTAAGCAATTATTAATGAATTTAATTCAAAAAAAAAAAATTAAAACCAATATTCCCATATCTTCCAATATAACGTTGGAGGCAAAAATAGAAATTTGTAATTAGAAGATCTAAATATATTTTTACTATATCATATTTTTATATTATAAATATCTTTCAAAACTTACAAATTGTGTTACCAAATCTCAGGACATATCGATGGACATAAATCCTTGATAAAGTCGTATAATCCGGATTTACCACCTTATGCTGCTGAATATTTGTGGGCACCCATCACGCACTTTGCAGACTGATGTGCCCGAACATTTCGATGTTTGGAAAAGTAAATAACTAAAAAAAATTAATTTTATTTTTGTCGCGACGATTTTTATGCCGATTGCATTTTAAATTTTGTTTTTAGATTAAATACCAAAGCCCTCTACGCTCATAAAAAAACAGTTTACATTCATTTTTTTCTAATTGCTCGAATCTAGTAGCAAAGATTTTTTATATAAAAATTGTCGCGAACAATTGGTAACATACATATTTATATTTGAATTTCAGTTTTTTTTCAAAATTAAAAATTGTACAAAGCAACAAAATTATTTCTTTTTCAAAATTAAAGCTTACAATTGCTGTTGTAATAAGGACTGAAGAAATGCAAGTACTACAAATGAAGTAGCAGAATACGAATATGAATTCCTACCAAAAAATACTTCTGTTTACCAGACCTAAGATTAAGTAAGTATGATACTAAATATGTAAGAAAATTATCTTATAAAGTGTATGTATTTCATTAGGTAACATGATTTTGTATCATAACTCAAATTTATAGAAGATAATTTATTATTTATAATAATTAAATTCGAGTATTATATTTCATATATTTACTTAATCGTATGATTATATTATCTTTATTTATTTATTATTTTATTGGGTAACATTATTCTGGTATCTTGACTCAAATTTATAGAAGAGCATTTAATAATTATTATAATTATATATTTGAGTATTCTCTTTCATATACGTACTTAATCATATGATTATATTGTCATTACATATCTATTATTTTATTGGGCAACATTACTCTCGTATCTGGACTCAAATTTGTAGAAGAGCATTTATTATCTATTATAATTATATTGGAGTATTATTTTCATATATGTACTTAATCATATGATTATATTATTGTAATTACTTATTTATATGATTTATAATTGCACTATATATGTTCATCGAGAAAATTATTAGTAAGCATGCCACTGTTTTCATTCTAGTTGAATTCAATCTTTTCATTCTTTCTAGTAGTATATATTTAAGGTTTCAAATTTGTGGAACATTTCAAATTTGTTAGATAATATTGATTTTGTACCATAACTCAAATTTTCAAAAGAGCATTTAATTATTTATGATAAGGTAATATCTTTCAAATACATATTTAAATGACTATATATTATGATTGCTTATTGATATTTTTCACACCAAGAGAAGTGTGCATCCACTGTTCTGAATTCAATCTCTTCATTCTAGTGGTATTTATGTTTTAAATTTATCTCAACAAACAGATAAGATGATTATATTTTGATTTTTTTTTCTACATGCTATACATGGACTTGGTTAATCACATTGTATTTGAGTATTCACACTAATATGATTCTTTTTATAATTAAGAAAATTATAAAAGAAATTAAAATGTCTCAAAGTTCTAAATTACAAGATTAAACTATAACAAAATTACAATTACTGTTTTGTTTCGATCAGGACTGAAGAAAAGCAAGAACTAGTCCCAAATAATGTCATGCCAGGAAAACAAAACACTTGAGATTCTTAAGTAAACAGTAGGAATTCAGCATGCCAGGAGATTCTTCTAAGTAAGTTGTTCTTTCTTATTTTGGTGTAACGTTCTTAAGTCTTTAAGAAAGACACCTATCAACAATGTTGTCATATTATGGTCCAGCTGACCACTTTGGAAATTTGGGAAACGTTTCCAAAATTAGCCTTACAGTTTTTAGGTATGCTAGAGTTTGCAAGCTTAAAGGTTTTCCTATATGCAATAAAGAAATTGTATTACTGAATGATTCTCTGTATATGCTTAAATGTTTTAGAAATCGCTTTTCATTATATGATATTACATTTGTGCAAAGGAAGTAACTGTAAAAGGCATCTTGTAGTCATATAATCAAATTATATGAAATTGATTCAGAATCACCTAACTTCTGTATGTATTATAAGTTGCTTGAACATAATGTTTATCATGAAAAATTGGGAAAAATAGAAGTAATCTAGTAATATTGAATATACAGCATATCTTCAATGATGAACATATATGCTACTAAACAGTATAAGTAAAATAAAATATTATTCACTATACTTTATCCCTGTTTCTTATTATATTGTTTTTTAATCATATTTTAGATGATCATCTTCCTCACGAAGACACCAGGACTGCCTGCTGATTTCCTTAATTTTGTAGATAAGCTGTTCGATAGTGCTAATGGATTAGCTTCATACTCTGCTAGAGACCATAAAGTTATACAGAGGTGACATTTACTCATTTCTCAGCGATTGTGCTTCAAGGCATAATTTATAAACTAAACTAGAATCATCATGTTAAAAACACTTCTCAACATAAAAGATTTTTGAAGCTAATACATAAAATTACTAAATAATAATGTATTTTTTTTTTAAATAAATGCCAGCTTTGTATATATTCATAATGAAATTATTTGACAGCAGCATTCATCAAAATATACTCACTAGAAACTTCTACCTAAAATGTAAGGATTACTCGAATAGCAACATCCAGGCCCTGGGCCAGAATAAATGTGATATAGTTTAGAAACTTCTACCTAAAATATAAGGATCATTTAAATAACAATATCAAGGCCCTTGTCCAGTATACACGCGAAATAGTTAGGTATACCAAACTATATACTGATCGATCCCTAGGAGTAATCGGATCATAATTCTTCTTTGTAAGAGTTATGATAGTACCTAATAACTTTTGCAATCATTGAAATGTGGCCTTTTTTGGGGAATTGTTGATCTTTTTCCATTTTCCCTCATATATTATATATTCTGATTATTAGGATAAAATGTGTACAATATTTATAAACATTGTTATAGTATAATAGCCATGGGTAATAAACTAGTAGTAGTAGTTCAATCTATCCAATAAAATATGTTTTTAAATCAATTCTTAAAAAAAAATCATTATTACCATTAAGATTGGCTGAACTTGTTGGATGTCATTAATTATTATTTTTAATTGGCATCTTAATTGTCAATATTTAGCATTATGTTTTGATTATATTCACAAGAATTAATATCAATTATATTTACATAAGTAATTAAACATATATTATTTTATCTTACATGTGCGTTATTTAAATACCAACTAAATTATGTATCTCGAAATTACACGATACTCACATATAAATATTTATTTTATAAACATTTCTCAAATGTTGAAATGTCAAATAAATACCAGCGCCATCTTTTACTGCCGTCCAATCAAACGCACCCAAATTATTTTTGATTCGTATCCAACTTCACGATAAAACACGTCAGTTTATCCAACATAACCTGCAGTGACATTTCTCCACTCGTACTGTACGTACTGTATGTGTTTTTCTCGATAAAAATGAAGTAATACGTGGCTAAATAAATGCTATTATATTTATTAAAAGAACACTTTAGTGCCGAAACGGATAAATGAATACGAAAAAGTTATTGTTAATCTCTTAATCCTGTGCTAAAGTGAAATAAATCACAAACATGTCGGATTCTTCCATCAAAACGGCTGTCCAGACAAAAGACGAGCCAGAAATGAAAGGATGGCTCTTGAAATGGACAAATTACTTGAAAGGATATCAAAGACGTTGGTTTGTGCTGAGTAATGGGGTGTTGTCGTATTACAGGTAAAAATAATGTTTGTTATTACCGGGGTCATTTTGTATGTATATTCATATTCATGTTAGTAAGGGAGCTTGCAACGTTATTTAAACAATAACCGAGGTAAAGGAAATATTTTGATACAAAATCCACTTTTTGGTATAACTCTTACATAAATCCTATTACCATAACAATTTTGTTTAATTTTCAAAGTTTTTGTATGTTTTCATTTTAGCTACAACCCTAACATTTTATTGCTTGATACATATATCAAGATTTTTTGGGCACAAAATTAAGCTAACACCAATTCACATAATTTATCCCTTTATTGTCACCTATACAAATTTTGTGAAACCTAGACCAAATTATTGTAGACTAAAAGACTTTTCAGCGCTCTTATATATAAGGACTACAACACGACCCATGATGCATTATTTTATCTCATAACATGACTAATAAGGCATTATCAAAGACCAATTATTATTCGTCATAACTTGAAACTTGATACAATAATTGTTGAGAATACGTTGCAAGCTCCTTGTCTGTTTGTATGTTGATCAGAAACT